AACCTTATTTCTTTTTCTGTGGAACTGCACTAAGAGACTTGTTCTTCATCCTGTCCTTATGTAGCTGATTCTGCCTGCTTCAGAAAGGTAGTCAGCACTGTGGTACATAAAAGCATCATTTTTTTTCAGGCCAATGTTACAACTGTTTCAAATTGTAAACTTATTCTGCAATGTACATGCAGTCCCTCCCATTCTGAAATCTCCTGCACAATCAATAAGCATACATTCTGCTTCATCCCATGTTAATATTTAATATAATCAGATGTGATATATTCCTGAAAATGCTTCTCAGAACAGACCTCTGGTATGACTGGCAGTTTGACTTTGCTTCACTAGTAATAACTGCTTTCAAAATACACTTTTCCAACTGGCTTTGCACCTATTTTGTAAGAATTTAATCTGCCTGTTGCAGAAGAGAATATCTGATGAGACAGTGCCAAAGTCTTACTAAAGGATTGAAAATCTACTGTTTCTTCTCTAATCTATCAATGTTGCTACCCGGTCATGGAAAGAAAATTAGATCAGTGTAGCATGATTTGTTCTTGGTTAATATATGTCACATGTGACTCATCTCCCTGTTCTTTTCCAGGTGCTTACAAATGGACTTTTTCTAGGAAGACACATTAAGCTGACATGTCTATATTTTTTCAGCTCCTCCTTTTCCCATATTTTTGTCTTCTGCTGCCTTCCTTAGTCCCAAGAGTTGTCAGAGGCGGCTGCTGACGGTTTGGAGGTGGCTGCTGATGGTTCCAAGATGGCTGCAGCCCTCTTTTAAGTTTCTTCAAGCTCTTCAAGTTTCCTGCACGAAATTCTACAAACACAGCCAATCTGAAAATAGCTAATTTATGTTTTCTTATCCTTTTTTTTTTTTTCCCAGGCTGAGATTTTATTCTTGTCACTCTACTACTTAGGAGATTAGCCATCTGTCTGCCACTGATCTTTCTAATGAACACTGATAAAAAATAAATCACCTGTTTCTGGCCTTCTTGAATTGTCTGTCAATAGATTTCCCTCTTTTGAACAGTAGCTCAACACTTTTTATTTTCTTTGTTTTACTATAATGTATTTGTGAAATACTTTTTTATCTCTTAACATTTCTTGGCAGATCTGTCTCATTTTATACCTTTGCTTCTCTAATTCTGTCCTTTGTTATTCAATGTGTGTTTTATACTTGCCTTCTGTAGACCCCCTGCTTTCTCCTTTCTGTACATTCCCTTCTTGTGTGTCAGTGAAGAGCTCTTTCTTTAGCTGAATCTTTACTACACCTCCTGGTTAGTTCTGTGCTAGTATATATTGTATGTATGATTGGTACTGTTTAAGTTACTACCAGCTCTCATTGACTCCTTTTACCTTACACTTGGTCCCTCATGACCCACTCCAGGAATTTAGCTATCAGTACTTTTTGGAAATTTTTCTTCCTAGTCCATTGTTTGTACTTTGATGTTCTTTCTTCCTTCTGTAAAGTTCTGACTCTGGATCATTTCATGATCATCTTCACCCAGGTTATGTTCTGTCTTTGCAGCTGATGCTTCTGTATTGGTCAGGATCAAATGTAGGTGAACAAGCCTTCCTGCTGCTTTCTGCAGATTCCTGTGCTGTGTCTTAGCTTTCACCTTGTTTTTTTTTTCTGTGCTTTTGAGTTGAATCAGATTTCTTCTAAATGCTGTCATTTATTTTGTTCTGATTAGGTTGGGAGATTTATTGACAAATCTTCATCCATATTCAATTTTTTCATCTATTACTTTTATGCATTTTTTGAAGCTTAATTGAAACTCCAAAGAACAAAAATGTGCATTTGTTTTCACTAGTCTATTGCTGTAAAAATCTCCTATATTTTTCATCTTACACATTTTATCTCTCCTGTAAGTATATTCCTAACTAGAACTAAAATCTGAAAGTTAGATTGAGTATATTGTACCTGTTTGAAATTGCATTTAAATGGTTTTCTTTGCATTAGAGGCATCTTTCAAAAGATTCTTGCTATTCTTTGCATGCTTTAACTGGAAATGTAGACTGTCTAAACCAGGATCTGCACAGTTCCAGAAACCAAGAAATATTGGAGAATGTGCTACCGCCCTTCTGGTTGAACTTAAATTAGTCTATGAAAAATTGTGGACTTATTAATGAAAAAAATCAGAAATCTCATTTTAATTGTATTGATTTGCCTTTTCAGAGACTTCTTGTAAGGTATGAGTAGAAACAAAAAATGTTTTGCATTGGTTTC